CTGGAGAGGCCTACTACCTCTTTGGGGAACCGCGAGGCGGGAGAATAACATAGAGAAGGTTCCCAGTGGAGAAAAACATAGAGTCAAGAGGCTAGAATGAAAACAATTGTTCAACATAATTTTGAAGAAACCAGTGATAACTTGTGATAGAATATTAGTGAAATGAAATAGTTTGAGCATACATTGTGATTTAAGTAAAATGAAATGACATTGTGAAATAATGAATGTAAATATTAGCCCTGTTTGATTATGTATATTCACTTAATAAAGAAATAAGTAAGTTTTCTAGTTGATTTTATTACACCCCATCACAGAAAGAATATTTAATGAGCAAATGCTATGAAAGATTTAAATTGAATAGCTAAATTTAAAGAAAGAAAAATAAAGTTACCTCAGTATCAGATAAAGGTTATGTAGAATGATTATTATTCATTCTAATGAACAGCCTTGATAGTATGAAAATATTTATCATTTAACTCAATGGTAAATTTAAACGATTTAAATTAATCAAATCAAGAATAAAATAGTATATCATTTAATACTTATAGCCTTTTGAGACATAAAAGTTGAAGCTCACCTTACAATAACCTTTTATAGTAATTAAAAAGCCTATTTCAAATTAAAAAAAAACACTTTATGAAATAAATTAATACAATTGAAATAGTTAGAAATTAACAGTATTAGTAGAATTGGTAGTAATTGAAAGAAAATAACAAAAATTACTTCAATATCAAATGAAGGTTATGTGGAATGATTAGTAGTAATAATACAATCAGTGAATAGTGTTAGAGCCATTTAACTAAATATCATGCTATGCAAGATATTTGTATATAGATAGAAAATAATGATACTATACATTATTAAATTACTGATTCTACTTAGACAATTAAAATGATGGATATTGAAAATACAATTAGAAAATGAATCTTTGATATTTACATTGAAACCAAATTACATGTCAATTGTCAGCTAAAGGCTTATTGATGGCTCAGGTAATATGTTTTATATAATAAAATTGATTAGGACTTAATATAAATAACTGATAATGAATAACTCGGTCCGGTGGACTATGAACTGGGTATCCGGCCCGGAGGACCATGAATGGGATGTACCGTCATTTTTATTATGATATGGTACAGATGTTTATTGGGTATTTGAAAGAACAAGTGGACTATATGAAATTGATTATAATTATATTTAAACAGTATATAAAGATGGGGGTTTGGCGTATAATGGTTCTACAATCGTTTACTTGATGTGGCTGGATGCTGGTACGGTGGTCGGCCGGCTGCTACACTTCTCACCTCCATGTGTCCGGTAGGTCTCGGTGTTCTACTCCATTCCTCTTCCCATGGTAGAACAGCAAGAAAGGTGGTCTTGAAGAGGATAGAGTACTTTCGTCTACTTCGTGTGGGTTTAGTCGCCCATTTTCCTTCTACTACTACTATTTTTGTGCATACAGCGCCACCGTCGCTGCAATGTTACCAACTTCACTGGTCCTTTATGTACCCCATGAAAGGGGGGGGGAATAACACCAATTTAGGGTGATCAACCCTAAACAACTCCCTTAACCTCTTTATAGTGCCATTTGCCCCTACGCATCACACTTGCTGGTCTGATACATGGCTGGACCTGTTTATCATTGATTCTGCGCAGAACCTTTTGTCCTCGTCCCAACAACCTGTTCCTTTCTTGTCTTCACATGACCTCATCCAACTATCATACAATATCCAGACCCCTGTGATCCTTCCTAAAACCATAACCTTCCGCAATATAAATTCCCTAACCCGTGAAAGCATCTTACCCGATATTGAAACCCTGAATTGGAATGATGTTTACACCAGCTCCTCAATTGATAACATGGTAGATATCCTGACTTCTAATCTCCTCCATATCCTCAATACCCATGCCCCACTTAAAACCTCCACATTCCGCCGCCAACCTGCTCCTTGGATGCGTCAAGAAATTCGAAATATGCAAAAGAGACGTGAGGCAGCCCGTAGACGTTTTAGAAGAACCAGGCTTGCAGATGACTACGAAGCATTCAGGGTACTCCGGAACTTGACGCAAACAACGATCAAGCAAGCGAAAACCAATTACTTTCATGAAGCCTTCTCCTCAGCTACCGATTCTAAATCCAAATGGCATTTACTCCGAAAGCTATCTCTTTGCAAATCATCTTCTTCCATAGCTGTCCCAGTCTCTCCTGATGCCTTAAATTCCTACTTTTTATCCTCCTCCTCTAGTAATATTTCTCCCGCCTCTTCTTATACTCCTGTATCATCCGCATTTAATAGTGACAATTTTTATTTTTCCTACATCACTCCTACGAACCTTATTCTCTCCATAATGAAATCCCAATCCAACTCTACAAGAATTGACGGAATACCTGTCAAATTGTTAAAACTATGCCTCCCTGAAATCCTTCCAGTTCTTCTATTCATTTATAACTTTTCCCTTCAAAATTCTGTTTTTCCTACATCCTGGAAAAAAGCCTTAGTCCGTCCTATTAATAAAATCCCTAACCCCACCTCTCCTAAAGACTATCGTCCAATCTCCATCCTCTCAAATCTGTCAAAACCCCTCGAAAGAATAGTCCAATCCCAAATTTCCAATTATCTCGAAGAGTTCAAACTTTTAGATCCTCTCCAATCTGGCTTTCGCCCAGGCTTCTCCACTCAATCCGCTTTAGCTAAAATTACAAATGACATACATTCTGCAATTGACGAAAGAAAACTGACTGTATTAGTACTCCTGGACTTCTCCAAAGCATTCGACTCCTTAGACCATTCTATTCTCTTCAATAAATTAAAATCTCTATCCTTTTCCAATAGTTCTATCCAATGGTTCCAATCCTTTCTTTCTGACAGGACTCAAGCCGTTAGTATTCCGAATCAACCCTTATCTTCTTTCCTCACTTTGTCTCATGGAGTAGCCCAGGGTTCAAGCATTTCTCCTATCCTTTTTAATTCTTACATCAATGACCTTCCTAGTTCAATCCACCATTGTTCATACCATCTATATGCTGATGACTCCCAAATTTATTTTTCCTTTCCGCCCACTGAGTTATTAGAAGCGTTTACGAATATTCAGAGAGACCTAGATAGGATAATTGCCTGGGCAAGCTTGAATAAATTAAAGTTGAATGCAACGAAAACTCAGGCCATTCTTATAGGTTCCAACTCCCTCCTTAGATCTATTTCCACCCATCCTTCCTTGATTATTAATGACCAACCAATCTCCTTCACCTCCTCTGTAAAAAACTTAGGAATCACCATTGATCAAAACCTATCATGGAAACCCCATATTGCTCAAATCTCCAGAAGGTCTATTGGTACTCTTAAATTATTTCATCGTTCTCGTCAGCATCTCCCACAACATATCCGCAGGCTCCTCGTTTCCTCATTGATTTTCCCCTACTTTGACTATGGCTGTGTGGTATACGGTGGCCTCTCGTTGGAGCTTGAGGACAGACTGAAGAGAATCATGAACTGTTTTTTAAGATTCGTCTTCGGCACTTCGAGATGGTCTCATGTGTCCCACCTATATGCCGAGTCAAAGTGGCTCTTCCTATCTTCCCGCCGCCTATACTTCCTTAGAAATTTCTTATACCAAACGATCAACTCCCAGCACCCTTCCTATATCTGTTGTCTCCTCCAGCCTAAACCCTTAGTTCACTCACTAAAAACGAGATCCCGTGTTTCTGACCTCTATATTCCTTTCCACAGGACAAAAACCTATGAACGTTCCTTCTTAGCCCCTCCGTCTCCTATTGGAATTCTTTGCCACAGAACATCCGTCATGCCTCTTCCCTGTCAACTTTCAAATACCTCCTTTTCCAATATCTCCTTACATCCCAAACAGAAGATTTACCACCATAAATTTCATTTTATGAACTGAATTTGCATGAAGTAAATAGTGGTGCCTACTGTTTAAGTTTTAGCATAAAACAGCAATGATCTTTGTCACCCAGTTTGACTATTATTTTTACTATTTATTTATTTTTCTCTTCTCCTCAGGTGGTGCTTTTTTTTTTCGGGTATATATGTTCATATTTTATATCTTTGTCTTTATGTGTGCCAATATGAGAATGTACGTATAAATAGTTCCTTTTAGTTATTTATTTTATTTTTTTTTCCGTTACACCACAAGTATCGTAAGACTTTATTTTATCTTAGTGTTTGCATATTATTATATAAACCATTGTAGATATTATTTCATTTTGTATTAAGTTAGTTTTCAATTAGATAGTCTATTGTTTATAAATTGTGTTATGTATATATAAATATGTAATTTCTCTTCTTTTTTTTTTTTTTCATCACAATTAAGTAATTTTGAGAAGATTTTATGTTCATTTGTATATATATTTTATTTTCCATGTTTTACTGGTTAAATACTTTTTAAATAATGTATATAATATTAAAATTTTTAGAAGTTAGTTTTTGGCCAGATTTGTACTTTACTTTGTATTAACTCATCATTGTTATTCTAAAGGGACTTAGTCCCAGAATAAATTTTAATTTTCTATTCTATTCTATTCTATGTAACTATTTTATTGTTGCCTAAATATTAATTGTATTTAAATTATCATTTATATTCAAAGATAATGATAAACTGGTATTCAAAAACATCGGCGCACCTTGAATTTTACATAAAACCGAGTATTAAAGAAATATTTTTGAGCCTGAAGTAATAACAGGTATATGACAGGTCAAAAGAGATTACCATGCGTTATCATTTACCATAAATTTCATGATTCTCTCTAGGGTTAACGATAAAAGTATCAATATAGAACATGTATCTCATATCAGTATGTCTCCAGTTGCCTGTTCAATTGTAATGGTTTTGCTTCTGTAGTTTTTTAGTTTTGCTCTGTGTGTTCTGGCCATATATATATATATATATATATATATATATATATATAGAGAGAGAGAGAGAGAGAGAGAGAGAGAGACAAACATACACACACATACACTTACATCTTCATGTAAAACACAAATAAAAAAACAAAAATGTTAAAAATTTATTTGAAAAAAAGTACTATACATTAACTTTATATTTTTTATTAATTCTAACCAGTTCTAAGCATTTTAGCTTCTCTTTTTTCCTGAAGTTCTTTTTTCTGATCAGCTACAACTTCCTTCCGGTATTCCAGAAACTGTTGATATTCATCAGGATCCAGCTCTTTAACTATTTCTATCCCGCATGAGTGAGCAATGCCAACAAACTTCTTACAAAGATCCTCTAAGGACAAACACTCATTAACTGGGTCAGTCGATTTTATCTTTGCTATTTCATACAAATGCTTCAGAGTGATTTTACCGCAAACTTCTTTTCCTAAAATAAAATAGAATTTCTTAACAATCAGTAATGTTAAATGAAAATTAACTTAGGACTGACACAGGTCAGTATGCATAGTTGTTTCTATAATTTTAACATCTCTTACATACCCCTTACAACCTATTTTATGTGCAAAGTTCTTCCTTCAAACCTCTTTCAATATAAGGGCAACTGAAGCGAAGACAAATGTACTTTTCATGTTCTCTAAACACTTCTTACACTCACTACCATAGGTGCACACTTTCTATTTTGATGGAGGGGGAGGGCAATATATTTTGAAATGAACAATATAATACTGAATATTTCAAAATAAATTTATATATATATATTTTTTTTTTTTTCGGTAGGCACTACAGACCATGAAGATCTTTGGCCATGAGATGTGGTCTCCTTACAAACGTGTGATACTTGCGGGAACTCAGATAGCCTGGAGGGAGTCACCCAACCTCACATTGCTACAAACCATGGTTTCCATGGTGCAGCGGCAGGCCACTGGTAGCTCCATAGCCGATTCTTTTGTGGCCAATCTGGCAATGTCCTTCCCACCAACTTTCTCGGGTTCAAGAACAGTGACAAATCGGTCTAGAACCATGGATTATGACTGCTCGGAGTCAGCAAGCGCACGAGGACCTATATTTCTCATAAAAATGTAGTATCCTATTCTCCTTCCTCATCATTTTTTCCAAAATTCTACTTCCCAACTCTCCAGTCATGAATAATATCCTGAATTCCTGTCACATCAACGCGTAATCCCTTACAAATGCAATTGCTCCTCAATGAAAATGTTGAGGGGACATGAATGAATGAATAAATGAAAATGATATTCTCGCCCCCCCCTCTCCCCCTATAATTTGAAATAAAAAAATATTAAAACCAATAATAAATAAGCTAAATGAATGAATAAAATGTGTAAACTAAAATTGATTAAGAAAAATCGACTAGCTGGCTAGGCTAGATCCTTGTAGTAGGTATGTAACTATTTTATTGTTGCCTAAATATTAATTATATTTAAATTATCATTTATATTCAAAGATAATGATAAACTGGTATTCAAAAACATCGGCACACCTTGAATTTTACATAAAACGACGTATTAAAGAAATATTTTTGAGCCTGAAGTAATAACAGGTATATGACAAGTCAAAAGAGATTACCATGCGTTTCATTTACCATAAATTTCATGATTCTCTCTAGGGTTAACGATAAAAGTATCAATATAGAACATGTATCTCATATCAGTATGTCTCCAGTTGCCTGTTCAATTGTAATGGTTTTGCTTCTGTGTTTTTTTTTTTGTTTTTTTTTAAATCATGGAGGCCTGAAAAAACGGGCAGTTCAGAGGTACCGAGAGGCAGGAAGCTCCACTTGGAGGCAGTGATCAGGCCATCCGAGAGCGATAGGTCCAGCTGATAACCGCTTCATTGCTATGGAGATCTTCAGAAATCACTATCAGACTTCAGTTGAGACTTCCCATCAATTGCGTATTGCTCAGGGTACGGATATATGAATCTTTTATGTGGTAACTTTTGGCCCGCTTATCGCCCTCCATCTCTTTTTTATACAGGATGGTGCTCTGCCGCATGTCAAAGCTGTTGTATGGGACTAATTAGATGACAAGCAAGGTTAGTATCCGCACCTTGGAATAGGCCAGCTCGCAGCCCGATCTTCAACCCTGCTAAGCATCTTCGGGACGAGCTTAGGACATCCATCTGTCGACAAAAGAACCCTCCATGTGATCTCCAAGTATGTGAATGGAATCAGATTCAAGATCAGGTAACCACCTTATTTGTATTATACCTACGAGAATACAGGCCGTTATTCAAGAAAAGAGGCAACACTAGATACAAATACTATAGACTCAGATTTCATAATTAAATGCATTTTATTTTCGTTTAAAAGAGTGTAAATGAAGCCTCAAGTGCTGTCTAAATTGCTTGTGCAAAAATCACCTAGTAACTCAAAATGAAACTGTAGATTTTATCCGCACTCCTGATTAGTTTTACTGCATTGGGAATCCAAAACACATTCTTGAGGAAAGATAGTGTTGTCAAATTGGGACCGCCTCAAAAGTACTTTTCAAGTAGGTCTCTAATGATAAGGTGTGACAAGTTTCACTTTATGGCAAGAGTATTGGATGCTTAGAGGGAATGCCAACGGGGGAATGCCGCCCATTCTGATGTCCAATTCGTCAATAAAAGAAGAGAGTTGTTTTAACTGAATTGAGATTTGTTAGAGTTGACTCTGGACTATGCGAATGCATTTCAGTTTGGCTGTTTTTAATTCATTGGCAGTGATGGGACCTGAAGGAATGGATCGTGGTGGATGAAGGAATTTCATTCTTTGTTATTGTCTTTGGAAGAACCAGAAGACCTCACTTTGAGAAACCTGGAGAAATTTTGAACTTTCCCGAAGTTTAAATACATCATTATGAAAATCTTTTTGTTAAAAACATTAATTATTGTTGTTTTTTATTGCCTAAGGCAATTATTTTTTCATGTTTAATTATTCTCTGACTATCCAGCTTTAATAAAAGACCAACTATGATGAAATTCTGTCTTTCTTATTTCACGCTTCCCTGTCAAAGAAAGAACATATTCCCAACCTTGGAAAAGGCTTCACGACAATTACAACAACCCAAGAATCCTCGCATCTTGATTCATCCAAAAGATACTTGAATGTGATTGCAAAACAGCAATATCTGAGACAGAACGATATAATATATTTTTAACTGTGATAGTAGACAGCATTTAGGGTTTCAAGTTATTGTCTTTAGAAGAACCAGAAGACCTCACTTTGAGAACCCTGGATTCAGAAACCTGGAGAAATTTTGAACTTTCCCGAAGTTTAAATACATGGCTCTCCAAAGCCAGCAATGTAATTGATTTTGTCTGCCAAAGGAAAAATGCAATAACCATATCTAGAGACTTCGACACAACTTTAAACTTCAATTTGGCTGAGAAAACATGCTCGATTCTGTCAAAGACTCTAACCCCCTTAAGGTGCTCTCAAAGGTTCTACCCAAAGCAAAATCCATTAGTACTGAGAGCCACAAGTAATAACACTAGAAAATTTAGCCAACACTCTTCACCAACTCATAGAACATCTACAATCACTCCTTCTAAACAGCATAAACAAAAATCTTGCCCTTTTTGTCAACAAAATCACATTCTACCCTCATGCTTCAAATTCAGCAATTCACCGCTTCATGAAAGAGTAGCATTTGTCAGAAGCCTCAAGTGCTGTCTAAATTGCTTGTGCAAAGATCACCTAGTAACTCAAAATGAAACTGTAGATTTTGTAGAAAGAAGCACCGCAGCCTCATTCATCCAGAGGATTCCAACCGTAACTTTCATCAGCATACCCTGCCTCAAGAAAACAATGAAACTACATTTATTGGATTTGGTTCTAATCCTAATCCAGATATATACCTTGGAAATGCACTGCTAGCCACAGCTGAAATACTGGTGGTTGGCAATGATGGAAAACTGTTTCCTGCTTGGGCTGTATTTGATTCAGGTAGCCAGCATACATTCATGACAACCTCTCTGCCCAAAAGGATAGGTAAGAACCTAGAAACATTCAATGGTCAAATAACTGAGTTAGGCTGCTCAACCATTGCGAAACCTAATGGATTTCTCAAGTGTCATATCAGATCTACCTACAGTTCAGAAAACTTTTCTACTAACGCTTTAATTGTGGAAAAAATTGTACCATCATTGCCCAACATCCATGTGCCCCATCACATCATGAATTTATTTCATTACAGGCTCGCTGATGATCAATTTCACAAATCTGGAATCATAGATGTTCCAATAGACATTGATCTTTTTCCTATTTTAATAACAGGAACACCATTTTATTCAGGAATTGGACAGCTACATCTCCTACCATCCAAGTTATGCTTGCTATTCATGGGAAAGCTTAATGAGGAATCTACAGTACAAAGTATCAGTCTCTTTTCTGTGTCTCAATCCACTAATGAACAGCAGTTCAAGTCCTGCTGGAAAATTGAGGAGCCGTAGACCAGGAAGACCAACTTGAAAAGTAATGTGAGGAACATTTTCTCCTCACCCACACAAGAACTATGGACAGTCACCACATTTTGAGGCTACCACTTCACCTGTATGCTGTTCCACTTGGCAAAAACCGAGGTGTAATTAAATGATTCCTGAACTTACAACAAAGAATGAAATTCCTTCATCCTCCACGATCCATTCCTTCAGGTCCCATCACTGCCAATGAATTAAAAACAGCCAAACTGAAATGCATTAGCATAGTCCAGAGTCAACTCCAACAAATCTCAATTCAGTTAAAACAACTCTCTTCTTTTATTGACGAATTGGACATCAGAATGGGCGGCATTCTCCCGTTGGCATTCCCTCTAAGCATCCAATACTCTTGCCATAAAGTGAAACTTGTCACACCTTATCATTAGAGACCTACTTGAAAAGTACTTTTAAGGCGGTCCCAATTTGACAACACTATCTTTCCTCAAGAATGTGTTTTGGATTCCCAGTGCATTAAAACTAATCAGGAGTGCGGATAAAATCTACAGTTTCATTTTGAGTTACTAGGTGATCTTTGCACAAGCAATTTAGACAGCACTTGAGGCTTCATTTACACTCTTTTAAACGAAAATAAAATGCATTTAATTATGAAATCTGAGTCTATAATATTTGTATCTAGTGTTGCCTCTTTTCTTGAATAACGGCCTGTATTCTCGTAGGTATAATACAAATAAGGTGGTTACCTGATCTTGAATCTGATTCCATTCACATACTTGGAGATCACATGGAGGGTTCTTTTGTCGACAGATGGATGTCCTAAGCTCGTCCCGAAGATGCTTAGCAGGGTTGAAGATCGGGCTGCGAGCTGGCCTATTCCAAGGTGCGGATACTAACCTTGCTTGTCATCTAATTAGTCCCATACAACAGCTTTGACATGCGGCAGAGCACCATCCTGTATAAAAAAGAGATGGAGGGCGATAAGCGGGCCAA